ATGTCAACAATGAATTATTCTAGCAAACCCGCGTGTTCCGGACAATATATGGATATGGATATTATGATATTTAGATATTTAGACAATTCTCATAATTTTTGCAAAAGGCTGTATATTTATATATTAGTATATTAGTGTATTATTATTGTGAAGCGCTTTAGAATATCTTAATAATTAAGGCGCTATAGAAGTTTAATAAATTATAAATTATAAGTTAAATCATTAAGCTTGAGATCTAGCACAACTGTCAGGTTCATTTTTGGCTTCTCATGTGGAACTGCCCTAAATCTTATTTCTATATACAATTTATCTTTCGTAGCATAGCTTCAACTTCTTTACTTTCGGACCGTGTTTGTTCTGGTAGATTCTTAAAGCTTAACTAATAAAAGAATTTCAAACCTTAAGACTTACATGTATGAACTTATTAACGTCATACATTTTCTTTATGATTTTAAGACATTTATAAAGAAATTTAGAATTCCTCGTTGTTTTCTTAGTCACATACATCAATCAACAATATCAAGCAGCTTATAATAAAACTATATACCTACCAGAAAAGTATAAAAACTGTAAATAACTAAGCCAAACTCCACAGCAAACTGATTTCACAAGATGGCGGCACTCGTCACTGCGCATGTGACAGAAAATGCAGACTGCTGGCCAAGTTCTGCTGGCCTGGAGCCCAGTCCTTCTCTCCCCTCTCCACATCACATGGCGGAAGGGAAAATGAGGTCTGTAATAAAACAGGGCGCAGAAGCTAGAATATATGCGGAAAACTTTTATGGAAAGCCTTCAATTGTCAAAGAAAGATTCAAAAAGTCGTACAGACACCCATCGCTGGATGAAAAGCTGACGCGAAGACGTGTTGGCCAAGAAGTTCGCGCTATTGTGCGATGTAGGAAAGCAGGAATACTCACTCCATGTGTGTATTTTGTTGATCATGAAACAAATAGCATTTTCATGGAGAAAATGCACAATTACTACACTGCAAGAGAAATTATATCTGATTTGTTGAAGAAAGGTACTAGTGAAGCAGCGAATGAGCTTGATACTATAGCGAAAACCATAGGGATAACTCTTGCCAAGATGCACGATGTAGATTGCATTCACGGCGATCTAACCACTTCCAACATGTTACTAAAAGAGCGACTTGTAGACCAGATAACTTTAATTGATTTTGGGCTTAGTACAGTGTCAAGCCTTGCTGAGGATAAAGGAGTGGACTTGTATGTTCTAGAAAGAGCTTTTCTTAGTACCCATCCAAATACAGAGGCTCTCTTCCAAGTGATACTAGACAGCTATAAGAAAAGTGCAAAAAAAGCAGATGGAGTGATTAAAAAACTTGATGAAGTACGAATGAGGGGAAGAAAGCGAACTATGGTCGGATAAATGAGATATCAAGCAGTACATTGATCAACTCTGATATCATACAACCACACCATGCCATTGTGAATTGTCGGACATTGATCTTTGAGACATATACTAGGCAATAGCAAAGAATATATGAAGCATACCTTGGCATTGTTCATGTCCACCTGATGTTGAACTCCAGTAGAACACAGACACATAAGCATTATGCAAGTTAATGAAATTGAAGAAGCAACACAGTCATGCTTGACTTTCAAGTTTTGATTTAGTGAGTTTCTTTGATTTAGTGTCATTGAGCATATTCTAATAATTCAAATGTAGAGAGCTTCCACAATACCTATCAGTGTCTTTTTTTTGACCATTTTCAATAACCACTTCTCTTGCAAAACAGATATTAAAATGATATATAAACTTGTGTCTCTGTCCTCTGATATAAACATGGTGCGAGTTGAAAAAAAAAATGAGAGAAGCTTGCTTCTCTTCTCTCTTGCTTCTCTCTTGCTTTTTCAAGTTCCACTGTGTTTATATCAGAGGACAGACACAAGCGGCCGTTTAATAGTTCTTTTATAAAATTTTTCACTGTCCTCTTATATAAACATGGTCGTCAGCCAATCAGAGCGCATGTTATATATCAAAAAWTTTATAAAATACCATAAAACATGTAGTGCCATGAAGTTAAAACTGTATAACACTAGATAACAAAACCTTCTTTAAGTAATTGATTTCCTTTTTTTTAATAATAAGATGCATGTAGGTATTGTAGTTATTCATATTAGCCTTGGGAGTAAATAGGGAAAGGTTTACTATAAAGATTCACTTTACAAATATACAGTAATTGAGTTTGCTCAAGTCTACTGTCTAAGTCTATTGTATTGAGTGATCTCGCTTTCATTATGCTTTTAAGCAGGATATCCCTGTCAGCTACATGACTTTCTCTATTGATATAGTCATCAGGTCTGTTTGCTATAGCCTACTATGTATTCCACCACCGATGACAATGGTTTCTCCTGTTAAGTAGGATGCTTGATCAGAGGACAAAAAGGACACAGTTCCCCCCACTTCATCTGATGTACCAAGCCTGTTAGAGCCAGAAAAGCTCTTAAAATGTGCATATTAAAATGTTGTCTCACTCGCACTTGTTTACCTCTTCATTGGGATTTTCTTTTTAACATCTTCATGAACTGCTTCATTTTTCCATAGCTGAAATTATCAAAACAAAACAATGCCATTGAACATGTTTGCCAAACAATTAAAAAACTTTAAGAAAGTTTTTTATGCACRCAAATATGAAAGTAAAACCTTACCGCTGCACTAAACCTTGTTTTGATAATTCCTGGTGCTACACAGTTAACTCTTATTCCCATATCAGCACATTCATTAGAAAGAGCTTTTGTAAGGCCAAATAAGGCGGTCTTGCTAACACAATATGCACCAAGACCCTATCAATTTAAATTTCTCATTGAGTTTCAACCAGATGAATACTAGTATCTAATATAAGTGACAAGTCAGCCAGAACACTTCAAAACATTACTGATGATAGATCAGTAATGCAGTACCAATTGAAACCTGCTTTTTGATTGCTCCTTAAGTACAGCACCACTATTGTTAGGTTAAGTTTTGTTATATTGTTGGAAGACTTATCTATTGGTTGTCCATTGTTTTCTCAACCTATCATGAGACCCGTTCCGAGCGGTGCTACCTGGCTCTGATAGATCTGTGAGTATATTACAAAAGCACCAGTACTTAACATAGATATTATGTTGGTGTTAAATAATATTACTGAAAGCTTTTCAAACCTGTATTGGCTCATATCCTCCAATTGATGATACAAAAACTATTGAGCCTCCACTCCTGCATATAAATAAAAGACAATGAGAAATTTCAAAACATTATCTACTACAAATAAGCAATCCATAAATTATTTAAATTATTTGATATTTTACTTGTTTTTCTCCATGTATGGCACAACTTCCTTGGCAAGGAGAAAACTTGATTTCACATTTACTTCAAATATCTGCAAAAAAAATTCTGGTTTAAAAACTGGTTTTAAAACTGTCAATATTAATATTGTCTTTATCGACTTTTTTGTCCTTGTAGATCACAGATTTTGTTAGTAAAGCTTAGCTACCATAAATATCTCTTTGCAGTTTTTGGAAAAGGGTTCAAAGTTATCTTGCCAGGAGAATTTTGCAGGTTAAACCCCCAGGGGTGGCCTCCAGTTATAACAATGATGTTGTTAGTTAATTGATGCATATGGTTACTTTATCTATTTGTTTTGGTGCCCATAATGATTTTCAACAAGCTATTACATGTACCTTATCCCAYGCCTCCTCTGATGTCTGTCAAAAAGTAATTAAAACATTTTAAAAAATTACCTTTTACACTCTCAGTAATTATAATAAGTGGATTTGAAATGATAAAAAAGACCTTAAAGACCTTCATTTCATCACTCTAAGTTTTTTTTCTTCAACTTCAACTGGACTTTAAAAAATTGTGCAAACATGTCACAGTTATTGACTGATCTTAAGTCCTCCTAGGCCTCATTTCCATGTTTTATCATCAGTCCACTGATTGCCAGCTATAAGCTGTAGCTCCCACCATTTTTGAGAGTCATCAATGGTCTTACTCCAACATGCTTTCCAGCCAAAAGACACAAGATTTTCTGGTTTGCAGATGTAACACAGCTTGTTGATCTACTCAATACTGAACACAACAAAGCTGATAACATCAGACAGTATATCTAACATTACCTGCAAAATGGGGCCAAAGATTGGGTTTGTTGCTGCATTTGAAATCAAGATGTCAATTGCTCCAAAGTGGTTAAATGTCTGAAATACAGTGGCATCACATGATTAGCAGCAGCTTTACTGCTTTTAACATCACACTTGACTAATATTACCAGTATATATAAAATATATCAGAAATTATGGGATATAATTGGCAACATATTTTT